TCTCGTAAATACTCGGAAGTTCTTTCACAATGATGTTGATAGCCGCGTGATTCGTCTTGGCATTATCAATGGTCATCGTCATGACATTCTTCATGCCCCACTCGTTTATGCAAATTAGCAACTCCCGGTCCATGTCTTCAACTTTGTGAGTATCAACCTCTGTAAAGTTGACTACTCTTTTGTGCATGTCAAAAACTTCGGTAATGAAGTTGGCCATGACAACCATATAATTTATCTTTTGACACGATGATATCCACGTGTCGGTTGTTAAGTGGATGGCTGTTTTGGGGTTGCTCAAATGTTTGTACAACTTCTACCTCTCCATTAAATAGAATGACACAACATCACGAGAAATTTTATGCCTTGAAGGCAATTTCACCCTACCATTGAGGGCGTTTACAAATTCTATGAAGGCCTCGTTTTCAATGAATTTAAAGGGTAGTTCCCCGATGGTGAAAAGGCCTAGTAAGGCAAGTTGGATCCTCGTATCATCATGTTTCCATGTGTATACATGGCCATCACCATTAGGAGCTTTCGTAAATGACAACTTTTGTTGTTTGTCATCCGGACAACAAACCGAATGACAACTTTCGTTGTTTGTCATCATCTTCATTCGGTTTGTTGTCATCATCTGGGAAAAAGAATGTTCCATCAGACAAGAAGTTAGAAGTTGTGGACGAAAATCTGGGAAAATCATGGATGACAAACAACAAAAGTTGTCATCATCTTTTGTTGTTTGTCATCATCTTCATTCGGTTTGTTGTCCGGATGACAAACAACAAAAGTTGTCATTTACGAAAGCTCCTAATGGTGAGGGCCATGTATACACATGGAAACATGATGATACGAGGATCCAACTTGCCTTACTAGGCCTTTTCACCATCGGGGAACTACCCTTTAAATTCATTGAAAACGAGGTCTTCATAGAATTTGTAAACGCCCTCAATGGTAGGGTGAAATTGCCTTCAAGGCATAAAATTTATCGTGATGTTGTGTCATTCTATTTAATGGAGAGGTACAAGTTGTACAAACATTTGAGCAACCCCAAAACAGCCATCCACTTGACAACCGACACGTGGATATCCTCGTGTCAAAAGATAAATTACATGGTTGTCATGGCCAACTTCATTACCGAAGATTTTGACATGCACAAAAGGGTAGTCAACTTTAGAGAGGTTGATACTCACAAAGCTGAAGACATGGACCAGGAGTTGTTAATTTGCATAAACGAGTGGGCCATGAAGAATGTCATGACGATGACCGTTGATAATGCCAAGACGAATGATGCAGCAATCAACATCATTGTGAAAGAACTTCCGAGTATTTACGAGAACGACACACATTTTCACATTAGGTGTATGGCTCATATCATAAACCTAGTTGTGAAAATGGGGTTAAAATACGAAGTTTACCATGTAAAAAGCATACAGGATGCGGTGAAATACATTAGAGCCTCCCCGCAACGGATCAAGACCTTTAAACAAGCCATGAAGGTTGCGGCTGTAGAAACTCACAGGTTTTTGTGTGGTGAAACTCCAACACGGTGGAACTCTACCTTTGAATTGCTAAGATCAACATACGATGTGAAAGACGCGTTTCTCGAATATAGCCATCAAGGTAAATAAAACCAAATCTATTTCGGTACTAAAAATAAGCAATATTTACAAATTTAGCATTTTGTCCAAATTTTGAAAGTTGTGTAACTCACTCAAAATAAGTTGTATTGACCTGAATCTTTTTCCTACATGCTGTTTAGGTTTTGTATATAAGTTTAGACTATAAAAACGCTTGATTTGGTTAAAATTTGAATGAGTTACAAGCCCCGCAAGGAAGCATATCAAATCATAATTTTTTTTTTTATGTTTCAGCAGTTAAACGTAATATGACTTTTTTGTTCAAATATGCATAACTCACTCATTTAAGTTCTATTGACCTGAATTTTTTTCCTACATGTTGTTTAGGCTTTGTAGATAAGTTTAGACTATAAAAACGCTTGATTTGGTTAAAAATTGAATGATTTACAAGCCCCGCAAGGAAACATATCAAATCATATTTTTTTTTTATGTTTCAGCAGTTAAACGTAATACGACTTTTTTGTTCAAATATGCATAACTCACTCATTTAAGTTGTATTGACCTGAATTTTTTTCCTACATGTTTTTTAGGCTTTGTAGATAAGTTTAGACTATAAAAACGCTTGATTTGGTTAAAAATTGAATGATTTACAAGCCCCGCAAGAAAGCATATCAAATCAGAATTTTTATTATGTTTCAGCAATTAAACGTAATATGACTTTTTTTTCAAATGTGCATAACTCACTCATTTTAAGTTGTATTGACCTGATTCTTTTTCCTACATGTTGTTTAGGTTTTGTAGCTAATTTTAGACTATAAAAACGCTTAATTTTGTTAAAAATTGAATGAGTTACAAGCCCCGCAAGAAAGCATATCAAATCAGAATTTTTTTTATGTTTCAGCAATTAAACGTAATATGACTTTTTTGTTCAAATGTGCATAATTCACTCATTTTAAGTTGTATTGACCTGATTCTTTTTCCTACATGTTGTTTAGGTTTTGTAGATAATTTTTTACTATAAAAACACTTGATTTGGTTAAAAATTGAATGAGTTACATGTCTTGGAATATAGCATACCAAATTTTTTTTATTTTTTTTGCAGCAACACACATGGAACTTTGATTGTATTTTCTTTGTTCTTTTTTATAGATCTAATGTTTCAGAAAAGTGTGGAAAGGATACAATCGCATTGAGACTTTGAGATGATTAAAAAGATGATGGTGTTCCTTGAGAAGTTTGAGAAGAAAACTGAAAAAGTTTCGTGTTCAACAAAGCCTATCTTCCATACGTATACCCGGGAGATCCTAGAGATAGAGCAACATCTTAGGAAACATGAAACCAACCCAGATTTTTTGTTTATGGTGAAAGAAAAATATGACAAATATCGGGGTGACTATGACAATATAAGTGATTATGTCTTTTTTGCGACATTGTTAGATCCTCAATGCAAGTAAAAGTTTATGAAATTTGTTTTTACCCAAATGCTTAAAGTCAATAACAAAGATAATAAGATGTCCGTTGATGAGATAGAATCGAAAGCATGTGTAAAGGTTATTGATATCGAATGCAAATTGGACAAGTTTTTCAAGACATACTTGGAAAGACCAAACATGACCTCGTCGTCTCAACAAGAAACTCCTGAAGAAGTTGTTAGTTTTGATGACGAAAACGAATTATTTGGAAGCTATATGACCTCGGGAAGTGTCCCCTCGACTTCGTCAGAAAGTCAATTGCAACGATACTTAAACAAGGACCCAATCGGATTTGACAAAGGATATGATATCCTCACATGGTGGAAAAATAACGTGGTGCGGTTCCCGATCGTTGCTCGAATGGCAAGAGGTATCGACCTTCTTTTACTTCAATTTTTCATATTTATTTTATAAATTCATGTCGTGTATTATACACTAATTTGTTTCTTAATAGATATTTTGGGGATGCAAATTTTCACCGTAGCATCCGAATCCACATTCAGTAACGGCCGTCGAGTAATTACCGACTACCGTACTAATTTGTCAGTTGTGATTGTGGAGGCATTGATATGCACTCAAAATAACGTGGTGCGGTTCCCGATCGTTGCTCGAATGGCAAGAGGTATCGACCTTCTTTTACTTCAATTTTTCATATTTATTTTATAAATTCATGTCGTGTATTATACACTAATTTGTTTCTTAATAGATATTTTGAGGATGCAAATTTCCACCGTAGCATCCGAATCCACATTCAGTAACGATCGTCGAGTAATTACCGACTACCGTACTAATTTGTCTGTTGTGATTGTAGAGGCATTGATATGCACTCAAAATTGGCTAAGAAAGAATAGCTTGCCTATATATGACTATGACGAAGCGCACGATGTGTTAGCTGATGACCTGGCTATTGGTAATACACTAATACTTGTTACATTTTATTTTTAACGTCTTATTAGTAATTGTTACATTTTATTAAGTAATAACGTTTTTCTTTTGTATTCTATATAGACATTATGGATGCTATACACAACTTGAAGCTAACGGGGAAGAGATCGGGGAATTAGTCAAAATGTCAAATAGATGTTGGAATTCACATATTAGAGTTTGTTTTTTTTTCTTTTTTGTTGGGAAAGCTTGAAAGTATATTTTGAATGTCGAAAGTATATTTTGAATGTTGAATGTTTAAATGTTGGGTAGTTAATGATGGTGTAATGGTTTTTTGAAAGAGAAAAACCGACTTATTTTTTATAATATCAAACTTGTAGTTTTTCATATATGTCTGGCAATCACTTGTTTATATAGATTACATTCATAAATTAGTGCATGTTCCTAAAATAATAATACATCCAACACTTGACAAGGTTTCAAGACCCGACAAGAACCGGCAAAAACCAAAACCATAAACGAAATATTTTTCAAAATACGTTGCTATCTCTCGAGGACCGGTTCCAACGTCGAAGACCCGACAAAAACCGGAACCGGCGGTCCGGTTCGGTTCTTAAATTTGGCCAACTTCCGTTCCGGTTCGGGCCTGTTCCAGCCGGGTCGATTCCTTTGCTCATCCCTAGACATAATGTTTTAGCTGAATTTTAGACCTATCTTGATTTAAAAGAATAAAGCACAATAAATACCTCGCATATTGTGCAATTTTTAAAATTTTATATTTTCTTTTATACGCATTCCAAGTCCACTAGCTTCTATAATATGACAATTACCGGGGTTGTAAACAAACACAAACAAAAGACTTGTTCATATTTACCTTTCAAGTTTAATATAAATAACAAACAAATAGACTTTCTTGTTTGTGTTCATTTGTTTAACAAATTACTCTTGTGTTCATGCACGAAACGTAAATGAACATAAATCATTTATATTTTAGTTTGATAGTTTTTGTGGCAATGTGGTGTATGGCAATTTATGTTTTACCAAGAACAATCACAACCATATAGAAATATTTTGAGAAAATTCATTTATTTCATCAAGAAAGAAAAAAATATGAAGTTTATACATGTTTAGGCAAAAATATAAATGGAGGAAAAGTGATAGTTATCCTTAGCCACCCCTATACATAGTATCTTCCAGAAGTATGCCACTAACAACTCCAATGAATAAAAGAATACATGATCAAAATAGCCACAGGTTATCCTATGACCTATAAGACATCAATGATGTGTCCACATGTCATGATCCTACATGGTCTCCTGCAGCAATGAAGTCAATTCTTAAGACCAGTGGTGTAACTGTAAATAATGATCACAGATCAACACGTGAAATTTATTAGTTTGTCTTAATCGGTTAAGTCAATGTTCAATGTTCCTTTAAGATATCTCAGCTCTAAAATGAGAGATAACTGCACAATTAGCGAGTCTATAATAAGAATGGAAAAGCTGAGAGCAAATGTAATTAGAGCTTGCTTAAGCATCCACGGTAAAGAAAAGTGTTGTAAAAAAACGGACTACTACCAGGCCGAGTCAAACTTGGACCAATTTGGTCAAGCACGGTCAAATAGTCAAAAAATTGAATTAAGAAAAAAAAAATCAAGAATTTTGATAGAAATCTTAACACAATAATGAAGGAGTCGGGAATTGAATGCTTGATTCCTATGGAAGTGCAATGGAATTCAAAATAAAAGATCAGGGAAAATAATCAAATGATTATCCTTCCTACCCTAAATCAGAGAGGGTCTCAAAAGAGATGACCTCCTGATGACCATAAAAATGAAAAATAGTCAGTCCCCCAATACTCCTAAGACAATAGTTATTTATACTAGCCTAGGGATGATTCTAGATAAGGGTGCAAAACAGAAAATAGAAAATATTACAAGCAAATATTTGCTATAAACTGACTTAGGATTTAGAAAACAAACAAACAAGAACCCAAAAACTATTCATTGTATTGATTTAAGAGCACTAAACAAAATTACAAAAAAGAAGATGGTTTGGCAAATTCGAGAAGCCACTTTCCCAGGGTATGAAATACTAGATTTCATACCCTCTTGATAAGCCCGGTCAACGTTGGTCAACTCAAGGAGGTACCACAAGCCAAGGGTTGTGCCCAATACCATTGTGGGGAGGGGAGTTTCACTGTTTTATTGTTTTTTCTCATATTATTAGTTATGTTGTGTCCACTATCTCTGCAGGAGGTCCTTTTTGGTGGAGGATAACTGTCCTTGTCCTTTTGGTCTGATCCTCAGAGTATAAGTAGGCATTTCTTTCTTTCCTTTTGTTTTAGTCAAGAATATTGTAGAGAACTTGTTTCTTCCTTGGAGATACCCATATCTCAAATATTGGGATTGTCTAATACAATTCACGTCTTGTTCATTTACTATGTCTTAAATCAGCATTCAACTTGATAGATCCAACTTAGGTCTATCAATTGGTATCAGAGCATGGTAGCTCCTCAGAAAAAGAATGTTCCATCAGACAAGAAGTTAGAAGTTGTGGACGAAAATCTGGGAAAATCATGGATAAGCAACAACAGAAAGTGGTTAACCAGCAACAAGCCAAAGCAATTGAAGACAACAAACTTATGCAGAATGAGATGATGAGGAAGCTTGATGTTCTGGTGGGGAAGATAGAGAAAATGGAGCTTGGAAAGGGTTCCGAAACACCAAACTCAGGCCTAATCACTCCCGATGGGAATCCCATGGACAAGAACAATGGTCAAGGAGGCAGCGGAACTAGCGGTTCTAGTGACAGAGGTATGGGATTGTTTTTTGGGTCCTTCTAAGGAACAAATCAAGGGAAACTGAAATTCGAATTTGTGTCTGTGTCGCGTTCATGTCAAGTGTGGAAGTAAGATTGGATTCTAGCGAAGTTAATGATCTTGTGGAAGTCTCCCTCAACTCCGTTGTCGGGTTGACCTCTCACCACACCCTGACCGATCCAGGAGCAACTCATAACTTCCTAGCTTTCAAGGTGGTCAAAGAACCGAGCATTCTGGTCACCGACACTGAACCATATGGGGTGAAGATGGGAACGAGGGACAATGAGGAGGGTCGGGGAGTGTAAAGGTATCTTTTTACAACTCCATGAGATCGATATTGTCGAAGAATTCCTTCCCTTAAGACTCAATAGCACTGATGTCATACTAGGGATGAAATGGTTGGAAACTTTAGGTACAACCCAGACAAATCGGAAGGAACAAACAATTGAATTTGACTTTGACTTTGGGAAATCAAAAGTAAAATTGAAGGGAGAGGTTGCTCTTGGAAAATCTAGTCACATTGAGGACCATGGAGAGAGACTTGGAGAGGGAGAAGGCAGAATTGCTTATTGAGTTCGGCAACACACAACACAGATACCTAGTTAGGTACCCAAATTTCTAACTCAAATTCTCCACAAATTTGATGGAATCTTTTGCTCCTGAACGCCATTTAGAACATCTGATAATTCTAAAAGACAGTATCCCTCCAATTAGTGCCCGACCCTATCGGTGTCCCCATTTCCAAAAAGACAAGATAGAGCGGTTGATCACAAAAATGTTAACCGCATGGGTCATCCAAGTCAGCAACACTACAGGTCGCTAAATCGGGCAACGGTTCCCGACATTCCCCATTCCGGTTATTGATGAGCTTTTAGACGAATTACATGGGTCGATCATTTTCAGCAAGTTAGATCTAAGATCTCGGTATCATCAAATCCGAATCCCAACACAAGACATCCCTAAAACCGCCTTCTGCACACATGGCGGACATTACAAGTTCAAAGTAATGCCTTTTGGGCTTACAAATGCCACAACAACCTTCCGGTTGTAAATGAACGATATCTTTCGTCCATATTTAAGAAAATTCATTTTTGTGTTTTTTGATGGCATACTTGTAACAGTGACACACACACATAGTAAAAGTTCAAACGAGAATGGAAAAAAGGTTGAGAAGGCAAGAACAAATTTCAACAACTAATTTATTGTCATTAAGTTATTTTCCAGCCCATTAAGTCGTTTTCCAAGTCATTCTCCAGCCCATTAAATATTTTTCACCCACTTTTAAACACCTCCCTTAAGTCGAATGTGGTCTTCAACAAATCATACGTGGAATTTATCTCATTTGACAATCACCACACAAGAATTTCTTCCCTTCTAAGTCATACTATTTTATACTTTTTAAACTTTGCAATTCTACCAGTTGAGTGTGTGAGTGTGTCTAACTGGCTAATGTATCTTACGGATTTTTGAACACATTCAACATGATAGTTGTGATCTTTTAGCTCATCTTTGATATTAAGGTTTAAAATATGGGTTATGCAGGTAAGGTGGAAATGTTTTCCACCATCATACGATTCGGGCAATTTTTTAATCAAAAATTTTATCGTCTTATCATCTGAAGTAGCATTGCCGGCGGTCATGGTCATCACGTTCTTTATCCCCACTCAAGTATACAATCCAATAACAAATGGGTCGCTTCTTCCCTTGTAATTATCTATGGGTCTAAAGTTTAGAATTATTTTATGCATTACCCAATTATCATCAATAAAATGACCATTTACAACCATATAATTCATTTTTTGATGAGAGAAAGTCCAAATATTTGTAGTCTAAGTGTATTGTGTTACTTAGATTACTAAAGTAAAGATTTTTTTTCTTTAATAAACATAATATTTAGAAACATCACGATTAATCTTATGCCTAGATGGTATAGAAACTTTTTGTTAAGAGCATTTTTGTACCTAATAGAACTTCATTTTCTACAAACTTAAACGGTACTTCGCCTACAACAAATAGATTAAATAAAACTTTCTTAATCCTGAAAACATCATGTTTCTAAGTTGTGACACTACTACCCTCCGCACAAACTTGTTTTTTAAACTGTAATTGTTTTGCCCTTTATCGTTTTCTAGGTTTTTTGGCTTCTACCAACGTGTTTATTTAAACTAGACGTTTTGTTTATCGGCTTTAAATAACTTTAACTTTTTTATCTTTTTCTTTTGTTCGTATCGGCTTTAAATAACTCCAGCTTTTTATGTTTTTTATGTTGTAGATCTTGATTCTTCAATGTCATTGATGTTGTAAAATTGTAATCATGATTCTAATGACATTCATGTTGTAATTTTGATTCTTGAATCCCACTAATGTTGTAACAATAATTTTTATGTTGCAACATTAATTGGTGAATGCCAAGTGATGTTGCAATCTTGATGTCATAGTTGTTGACTTGATGTTGCAATCTTGATGACAATATATTTGTTGGATCCACCCCCACCCATGTGATTATTGATGATGATTATTCCAAAAAGAAAAAAGAAGAGCATATGGCATTGAAAGTCACATAAAAGAGAACAGGTACCACCAAAAACAAGACGTTAAAAACATTTGTAAAGGTTTGGCTACAAAATGATGTGGAGTGAAAACTAAGCATGCTAAATGTAAGTTCTGCTCAACTATCCTTAAAGTCGACACGAACAAAATGGATCATCTACCTTAAATAAACCCGTCGGTAGATGCAAAAAAATAATCCGGAAAACATCAAAGAGCAAACCAATTTTTAATTTAAAAAACAAGCTTTTGGGGAGAATCGTAGTGTCACAACTTGGAAACATGATGAGGTTAGAATTAAGAAAGTTTACTTACCGTATTTGTTTTAGGTGAACTAGAGTTTAAGTTCGTAGAAAACAAAACTTTTATTGAATACACAAATGCTCTTAACGGGAAAGTTACTGTACCATTTAGGCATAAGATTAGTCGTGAAGTTTCTAATTATTATGTTGATGAGAAAGAAATATTTACTTACTTCAGTAATCCAAGTTACATAACACAATAGACTTGACTACAGATACTTGGAAATCTTCACATCAAAAAGTGAAGTATATGGTTGTAGCGTGTCACTTTATAGATGATAATTGGGTTATGCATAAAAGAATTTTAAACTTTAGACCCATAGATAATCAAAGGGGGAAGACGTGGCTCGTTTGTTATTGGATTGTATACACGGGTTGGGGATAAAGAACATTATGGTCATGATCGTCGACAATACCACTTTAAATTAACGATAAGACAATAGAATTTTTTATTAAAAAATTCTCCAACTTGTATGATGGTGGAAAACATTTTCACATTAGATGCATGACCCATATTTTGAACCTAATTGTCAAAGATAGGGTAAAAGAACATAACTATCATGTTGAATGAGTTCAAAAAGCCGTAAGATACATTAGACACTCAACTGATAGAATTGCAAATTTTAAAAAGTGTATAAAATAGTGCGGCTTAAAAGAAATAAATTCTTATGTGGTGATTAACCAACGAGATGGAATTCCACGTATGAGTTGTTGAAGACCGTATTTGACTTAAGAGATGCGTTTGAAGGTGTCCTAGAAAATGACTTAATGGGCTGGAAAACAGCTTAATGGGGCTGGAAAACGACTTAATGGGGCTGGAAAATAACTTAATGGCCAGAAAACCGGTTTTGGAACCGAAAACCGGTTTAGTCCATAGCAGTCCGGTTCCCAGTTTGCTTCAGCCGATTCTTTTGGTTCTAATCCAGCCGATCCTAGAACCGGGCTCATGCCTATCTGTAAGTGCTTTGTAATAAAGACGTGGGGGTATTTTAGTCGATTATTATATTAGTATAAATAAGAGATCTTGGGAAGTCAGTTGGTAGTTATTGATTTGTTCGGTTAGAAAAAGTTCTTGAAAGGGACACCCTCTTGAAAGGTAGATTTCATTTTAAATCATTCAACTATAATCATTTAATCAATTGAATCTTCTACCAACTATTATCATCAAATGTAGAATGTAAGAACACCAAATGAGACTAATTCAAAAACTACCATCCCACAACCAAGATTCTCTCCCCTTCCTCGTGATTTCCTAAATGCTAAAAACAAAGACCTAGATCGTAAAAACTTAAGACTTAAGATAGGAGAACACAATAGAGATTTGTTAAGTACATATTAGACACCATATTAGACGTCTTTTACTTTATTTATACTTTTATAGCATTCTGTAGATACAATTCATGTATTGCACCTTCATTAGGGTTTGCAGTTGATTTGTATAAAAGTGATTTCTTTTTGAAGTTGATCATGAGTAATGGGTAGGCAGCTAGTTGACTTATATATATATATATATATATATATATATATATATATATATAAAGGTTGCTTATAAATCTTGAATGAATATTGATACCATTGTAAAAGAGAAGAAGTGTAACTTACCATCATTGAGATTACCATGTAAAAGAAGGCAATACATATGATGGATAAGCATCATACTTCAATGCAAGAGCATGAACAGAAGACACGTCAGCAAGTTCTCCAAATCCACCAAGTCCAAGTTCATTTGCATGGATCCCACAAGTGATAAAAGCAGATTCAATCCCAGATGCATTTGCACCTTTTATGTCATGGTGTAAAGAGTCCCCCACAGCAATTGAATCAGAAGCATCCACACCAGCCATAGCCATGGCTGCTTTATAGATAATCTGATACATTAATCAACCATAATAACTTAATAAGCAACCAAGAAACAAAGTTTGCAATCACAATAATAATCCCATTTTGCAAATGTGAAATTGAAAAGAATGTTAAGAATATATTGAAGCATAAACTTTATTTGGTTTTGAACCCTAAAATCACCTCATGAGGCTTGCCCATCCATTTAACTTCACCGCCAAGCTTTTCATAAGTAGCTGCTAAAGTACCTAAAAAGAACATACACAGTACAATAGTCAAATATAGTTTTACCTAATTGCCCTTCTACTTTTTTCCTCTCAACTTCTCTCATGTTAAAATTCATAAACATTAATAAAACATATGGTTTATTCACTTTAAAAAGAAACAGACGTTATGTGTACAACATTTTATCCAGATAGACATCATTTGGTTACTTTACCTATACATGACTTAATACGGAAGAAAAAAAACCCTAAGATATAAATAATAAGAGTCTAAAGTAAGAAAAAAATAAAAAGTTTACCAGGCATGATGCGTAGTTCTCTAGCTTCAACTGTGACAAAATCAGGATTTGCTACCACCATAGGGATACCTTTAGCTGCACAATGTTCTAGAATCTTCTCAAGCTCTTCAAGCTTCTTGGAAACAGAGTCACCAGAAGAAAGCCCAAGAGCTTCAGTACCATGGACCAAAATAAATTCAGCTTTTTCAACATTCTCTACAACCTGTAACCCTAACCCCTGCAGCAATATGATAATAAAATTTAAAAAAAAAAAAAAAAAAAAAAAAAGGAAATAGCAATGTGCTTTCATTTATTTGTTTCCTACTTATGTTTCTTTCTATTGCAACATTTACCTCAAGTGATATAGCACCTCGGTCACTCCATGTCATGTGAATGCAGGTCTTTCCTAGAACACGAAACCAAGGATCATCTCTCCTGTTCATGGTAGATCACATATTAAAGATATTATTTGCATGCATCTAGAAGAAAATAAAGAAAAAGAATTACACGTTACATAATTGGTTGTTTTTCATAAAAAGGAGAATCTCACATTATTCAAACACAAGTTGACAAAATACAAGATTTATAAGGCCACTAAGCCTATAACAATGATATTCATCAAATCTAGTAAAAGTCAGTTTGTAATGAAATAATGAATTAATCTTTGGATTTTTGTCACACTACCTTTGAAGATGTTGATATGTTAATTCTCCACTGGTGACAGCTCCTATGAAGAGAGAGGGATCAAATCCAAGGCTTTTCAGTTTATCCAAAGTTGTTGATGCACGTCTTGATGAATTACTAATAATGACCATTTTAGCACCACGAGAAGCCAAATTTTCCACTGTTAGAAAAGTAGGAAACTTGAATATATCACCCCCAAAATGTCAAAAGAACAACATACTTTGGAGAGAAAAAAAAAAGGATCTCCAATTGACATGACATCCCTTACCAAAATGTCAAAAGCTCATAACATACATGTAGATATGGCACCAGGGTAAGGTTGTTTCCCATCATGAAGAACCCCAAATTGATCCAACAGCCATGCCTGCACCAAATATCACTTGGGTAACTAAAAATTATCAATTTGAAAGGTAAATGGTTTGAGATTGACACAAGAAGCACATAGGAAGATAGGAAGACATAATTCAAGGATAAAGTGGATAAAGTTATTGTAACATTCGACAATTTTAATCCACAAATCAAGACTAAAGTCGAAGGATGCAAATTACTCAAAATATACTTGGAAATATCAACAGATGAGAATGAAGGGTTCACTAGTGATAGGACGACATGATAAGCTCGAAGTTAAACTCATATTTGATACCATAATACACCACAAGGAGGGCGTTAAGGGTTGCCGGCAACATACAAAAGGGTATTAAGGTTTTCCTCTTGGCAGGTAGGGCAGGAGGCGGTAAGAAGGGCTGTGCGCGGTGGACGGTGGGCTATGGGGAGGAAGAAAGTCGGAAGGTCGCATTTCTACCTTAAATACGGTTTTCTTTTAAATTGTAAATCGGAAAAATAAGGATAGAAGTTGGAAAGCATGCCTTGTAATGGCGAGATTCAGCAATTTGCTGGAGACCTGTGAAGATCTTGATGTCACTCGCATTGGATGTAGCCATTGCCATTATGTTCTCTTCAACACGATTTCCGGCCACCCCAGGAACGCTCTTTTGGCCGACCAATCTTTAGAGAATCTGGGAATTGAGGCCGAGCAAGATTTATTTGAGCTAATGATAAATCATAAAAATACAAATTTTGGATTTTATTAGGGTTCTACTATGAGTGGAAAAAATTAGTTAAATCTTGGAAGTTTGTTTAATTAAACGATTTTAAAAAGAAAACTCCTATGTATATTTTTTTTTATTTAATAAAATCCTAAAAATAGGTAACGGTATTTATTTTGACCATTATATTTATTTTGACCGGTAACAAGGCATCATGTTTTCAAAAATTATATTTTTTTTTAGATTTTTAAACTTTATTATTTGGTCTAAATTTTATATTTTTGACAAAAAATTTCAAAATTTTGTTACGAATTCATCCTAAATTTAGTTTTTTTATATTTTTTTTTTCAAAATTTTGTTTCGAATATTTTTTTTTCTTTTGTATAAAAGCATATTTATATAAAAAAACATATTTGTACATAAAAACCCTTCTTTTTTTCTATATAAAAAACTTTTTTAAAAAACAATTTTGTAGGCGAAATACCTATTTATAAAAACATTTTTTTTATTTTAAATACCTATTTATAAAAACATAGTTATGTAAAAATGCAAAAAATACACTTATGTAAAATATATTATTATATCCATATATTTATATACGTTAAAAAACTTTTATAAAATGGGTATTTATTAAGTAATGAAAAATATTTATGTGCATACAAATACATAAAACATATACAAATACTTTTATATTAAAAAAATGTATAAAAACAAGCATTATATATATACACACACAAACACGTATTTTATAAAAATATATACAAACATGTTTTTTTTTAAATGTAGAGATTTTTTAAAACTATTTGTTTAAACTGTGATGTTTTGTTAAATGGCTTTTGTTAAACCTTGTTTTTTGATTAAACCATAGTTTTAAATTTATTTTAAAAATATGTGGTGTTACCGTTGGTATCAGTGTCATATTTTAAGTGAATTAGGATGATCATTCAACTCCTAGACTTAGACTTTGGTTATGGAAAGTGTGAATGAGACATAAGATTGATATGCCTTAAGTTAGATGAACTTGTAGGATGTTATATTGAGTGCTTTTATAGTAGTAATGAAAGTGAAACTGATATATGGATAATCTAAACAAATGGAACAAATCTTCAAAATGGTAAAGTCAAGGTTGGTTATATATGATGTTGGTATAATAGTGGAGGGGTCGTACTATTATAAACATATGATACATACTCAAACTTGGTGGAACCATGAAAGAGTTTTATGAAATGAGGGATAGATATATACTATGAAAGTTACTAGAAATTGCATATCTTTAAGAAAGGTCATGATAATGTTTGAAATTTTTAACATGGATATCTGAATACTATTGTATAGTAAAGTGTTTAAATGTTATAGCATGATGACACAAAGAAGGATTCAAACCTTCGGCGAAGAAGGACGAGGATAAGGTCCAAATCAAGTCTCGTGTGAATAGGTCGCCAAGAGTGGCCAACCAAGGTAGTAATGATGGTGATCAAATCCCCCTCTGGTTACCCTTACGGCAATCCAACGACTTTTGGAAGCACACCAATAAGAAAATAGAATTGAAATGAGACGATTGATTGAGGAACGAATGGGGGATTCATCGAGAACCATGTCGGACACTTGTAATGAAGGTGACACCCCCTGAGGATGTTGACCAATCTGAGTCGTCCAATCATGGACCCCCTCCTCCTCCACCTCCACCACCCAAACCCTGTATGGTTACTCTTCAAGCACCACAATGTGGACAAAAAGGAGTGAGGACGTGTAACATCAAGGACGTCATGACATGTCGTCATATGGAGTTCAAGGATAACAAAGACCCAAAGGTGGTGATGAAGTGGATTGTTGAAATAAAGCATGTCTTCTACATATTCAAGCGTAAAAGACGGATTGAAAGTGGGGCTTGCTAGCCGCATGCTTAAAGATGGTGCCCTCGGATGGTGGAACGACCTTCGTGAGGCGATTGGAACCGAAAGGATTATATTCCTCACTCGAGAGGAATTTGTGAGGAGTATAAAGGTGAAATTTAGCTCCCCGAGGCACCAAGATAATTGTTGAATGAGTTTTTTGCTCTTCAAAAGGGCAATATAACGATTGATGAGTATACTAAGAGGTTCATCGACATGCTTCCTTTCCTTAGGAATACACTACCCAATGAAGAGGAGCGGGTGAACCATTACCTTGATGGACTTCCAGGTGAATATTCCTTGGAAATAGGAAATGCCACAATACTTGATGAGGCAATTAAGGCAGACTCTAGAATGGAAGACATGACACCCAAGAAGGCAAGTAAGAGACAAGTGATTGGTGAAAAGAGGAAATTCCATAGACATTCAGGATCACATGAGAGGAGTCACTCCACGTCTAGCTATTTCAAGAAAGATGAGGCCAAAGATTGTAAGAAGTATGGAAAGCGACATGTTAGAGAATATAAGTTAGGAACATCTGATTGTTACAAGTATGGTTAACACAGTCACAAGGCTCGGGATTGCAAGATGAGGGATACAGGATATGTGCCAAGATAAAGGACATTATAGTAGGAACTACGCAAAGCAAAAAAGTGAAACCATGGGGTCAATGGCTAACAAGAAGGAAAACACGAGTCCGGTAGCGGAAAAAGGATACTTGATGAGTGAAGGGAAATCAAAGGAAAAACACGATGTTGTGGAAGGTACACTACTTGTTGACTCTAACCTTGCATGCATATATTATTTCATTCGGGTGCTAGCTATTCTTTTGTGTCTCATGATTTTTTTCATAAACTAATTGGGCCCCATCTACATTGTCACGATCTTATAGCATTGAAATGTATGATGGTACCTATGTCTATATGGGACACATATACCCGAATTATTCTCTATAAATAAATGCTCGAGCCTTCTTCATCGATTTACTTCTAATAGGAATTAAAGGATTCAATGTGATAGTTGGAATAAATTGGATGGGGGCTAATGATGCAAAAATATCGTGTGGAAAGAGAATGATCTCCATCAAGACCGCCAAGGGGGAAAAGTTTTATGTGTATGGAAATTGGGACAACAAATTTCCTTGTGTAATATCAGCCTTCAAAGATCAAAGGTGTCTGTTAAAGGGATGTGAATCGTTCTTAGCATGTCTCTGAAAAATCATGACAAAATTTTCATTTTTAAAACTATTCCAAAATCCATAAATTACACAAAAACATAGTTTCCAAAAATCATAATCATGAATCAGAGTATCCCAAAATCGTAAGTCAAATAAGAATCCAGGATGATGTGTACAATCACGCATTCGTCTTGTCCCTGTCCTCCTCTCATGTACTTGAAACCATAAAATCAAATTGTAAACTAAGGCTTAGTGAGTTTTCCCAATGTACCCCACACAACAGCATATATACAATACATGCACCTAGGCCTACAGCACAAGGCTGGACCGCCACCAAGCCTTCAGCTACAAGCTGGACCGATCCTGAGCCTATAGCATAAGCTAGATCGATCCTTTGGGCTTATAGTAACAACTGGACCGCTCGAGTATCTTGGCCTTCAACACAAAGAAAGACCGCCTCAACCCAAAAAAAGCGATAACGTGTCGACATATGCAATCATAATCCATAACCAGCAAGTACAGGTAATGATATAGATCTACCAGTCTAACATATAACCAGCGAATACAGGTAATCATACAGATCTACCAATCTAACATATAACCAACATAACTGATAGGTTTTGAGCATTCTAACACTCCTAAGGTGTTCATGCAACCCTAAATACCTTGGATCTATGTTTTCTCTATTATACATGCAAACTTGAAGTTTCCAAGGTATTACCCTAACTAGCATATAATCATATGTATTTGCATAACAAAAACTATATAGAATGCATACCTTTTCTTGTAGTTGATTACTTGGAGCTTTAAGAGCCTAGCACCAATAATGTGAATTCCTCAAGTGGAATCACAAATCACCATCAACAACTTGGAAGACTTGAGAGAGAGAGAGAGAGAGAGAGTTGCTTCACAAAATCGGCCAAGCTTCTTACACACACACTAATGCCAATTTTACGAGCCAAGGACTCCTTTATATAGTATGCATTATTACGGTAAACCCTAATACCCATGACTTTCCACATTACTTAGGATCCATGGGTTAAAAGCTCCATGGACTTCCATGTAGGCTTAGCCCATCCTAAATAACATTATCCCATACTATATGAGTCCTTATTTAACTAGTCTCTTTTGATCACTAAATTAATTCCAAATTAATTCTTGATCAATACTAATTAAATAATATGATTTCATATTAATATATTAGAACTTATAATATATTAATAAATCATAAATATCCTTTTCTCATAAGTCTATCCATACAAATTGTCCCGGTGAAGTGCAACCCAAATGGACCATGCCGGGTCAGGTCAAGTACATACCAATTATAGTTTTGGACTTAGACACTAATCCAACAGTCTCCCACTTGGATAAGTCTAATAATTATTATTGCAAGTATGACTTCACAACCCGACTAGCAATCGTAGCTCTTAAAGCCGCTGTCGAACTCTGAACAAAACAATGACGCGTCCATTAGATAAGGGATCATATATTCATCCATTCTACAAGATATCATATGGACTGAGACATGGATTATAATCATTCTCTCTGTCCATCTGTTGTTTCCCGATTTCCGATTTATGACGACCGACTAGTTGAACAAATCAAATCAGTACAGGCTTGGCCAAGCACTTAGGGGTGTCATCACTAAATCATCAAGGGGCCCACAGATATCGCTTTTATCCCTCCAAGGGTAAAAGGAATGGATAAACTTCGACTCATATGCTTGTACTAAGTACTTGTTGAATCATACACAAAGGCACATTTTATAACATTAAGTTACTGATGCGTTTTTGTACAATCAATGTACAACCAACTTATAGTCAACAATTCATATCTCTAGGTTTGAAGAATATAAGATATTATCGTCTCATGATCACTCATGATAAAATCCATGAAGTGGTTCAAATGAGCGTGGGTTTAATCCAATACTCGAATCTTATTCCAGGAGCACT